AGAGAGAAGCAAGTACCTCTTGTTATATACTAGCTTCTTGTTGCTAGCGATGCCCTTGTTACTAGCTTTTACTTTGTGAGATGCCAAGATTGTAAGGTGCCATATTTGAGCAGTATTCAATGCAGCATGGATGTGATCGCAAGCGTGGCTCCATTGCTGCATTCTGACGGCCCTGGTGACGGATTGATTACAGTTGAGTCAGTTGAGGCTATTTTCAAGATCATGAAATGCCTGAAATATGGAATCAAAAAAAATAATTAACAATACTACAATTACCGTATGAAATTATACCAGGTAATCTGTAGCAAAGTGTTTAAGTGAATTGCAATGAGTGGATGTGATTTCAGCTGGCATGAACATGGTGATTTGGTGATGTTTTGTTGCATTGTGGCAATGTGCTGATTTGGTGCTGGTGAGGTGTATTGTGGTGATATGGTGTGATGTGGCCTGAAATGTAATCTGGTGTTTTAGTGATGCTAGTAGGTTGAAGGTCATCGCTAGTAGGTTGGGCTAGTAGTTGGAGGAGGCCATCGCTAGTAGTGACTTGTGATTTGGTGAGTTGTATGCGGTAAGTAGTCAGGGTAATGAAATGCGCGATGTTTTTTGAATCTGTGGTTATGCAAGAACGAATGCCCTGTACGTCGGGCTTGTTTTCCACTTGAGCCAAAGTGCGTGGTACACTTCTTGATTTATGCGATCGAGCGGAATGCGATTCACACTCCCCCTGGCTTTCTTAAAGCCATTCATGGAATCGAGCGCCGTTGGTAGGTTTTTTCGTCTACCGCTGGCTGACCTCGAAAAAACTGTCCTCGGACTCGGATGAGTCCTCACGAACCCTTGAGGTTCCGGAAAAACCGCGACGCGGCTCCCAAGGGTCTCCAGACCGGGGCCTCACTGGCGCTTGCGTGGCTATGCCCATCCAGGTTGGTGTCTCCTCCTCGGAGTCCTCTTGCCGTCGTTGGTCGTGATCAGGACCTCGATAGCCTTCTCGGCAAGGCGGAGCTAAGTTGTTCCGCACAATCCTCCAGCCTCGTGCCGTCACCTCTTCCAAGGATGGAGGTTCCTCTTCATCTTCACTCACCAGCGATCGCCTCCAGTCTGCTCGCTCGGCCTCACCCGTCATGTCCCGCATGATGGCCAGCCAATCATCACATTCATCATCGCTCAGAGTGGTGCCATCATGTCCACCTGGACCCTGTGCCCAGTAGGTGGCCGGGTCATAGCCCTGATCTTCACCCACATAATGCAAATCTCGTGACCCACTAATCCCTCCGTATATCCGAGGGCAGAGCCGCCAACAGCATCGAAATCCCCCGTTGCTCAACACGCTTGAACTTCTCCGGGACCGGGAGCTCCCACCACTGTTGTGCACTGCTACTCAAATCCGACATCAATGGATGGACCACTGTCAGCCAATCCCCAAATTGGATTGAGGCGTCCCCGCTGCTAGGGCTTGGCAAACCTCACCGCCTCTGGGATAGTCATCCCTGCTTGTTCTGGTCGTTCCACAGGAAATCCTGGAGGTCGTTCTACCCCTCCCTCTTGCCCAGTCGACCTGGGCCTCCTCCAGACTCTCCCAAACCAACTCCCGCCTCCTTCTTCGCCTGCTCAGCTGCTGCTGCGCTGGCTGCTGAGGCATAGGATGAAGCATCTTCTGTAAGCCGCCGGATCTCCTTGGCGAAATTGGCTTCGGCCTCCTTCAGGATCCACTTCATTAGCTGCTGGACCAGGTTCCTGTTGAGGCGCTCCCCTATCCCCCACCATGCGTCCTCTTGAAGTGCTCCAAAACGGGTTCACCTCCACACCTGGTGAGTCATAGGGATCTAGCACCTTGGGTACACCTGACCGCTCATGCTCCCGGCCTTGAGCAGGGAACAGCTTCCCTTGCTGACAGGGCCTGGAGGGCCACATGTGTCACCTTTGAGAGCGACGGGATGGCTGGAGGACTGTTCGAGGCACGAGCTGGACAGATGGGCCTGGGGCGACTTCAGGACACTGTTCGACATGGTCTGGAGGCATTGCACGTTGCCCTTGAGGGCTCCGGGTCTACTTGATCCTCTTTTTCGACCGCACGATCAAGGATATCCTGGAGGGCAACTTCCTGCAGCTTGCCAAGTACCAGTGTCGCCCCAACCTACGGGGGTTCTGTTCACCTCCTGGTACTCGACCTCCACGGCCATCTCCTGGATCACCTCCTTGTACTCGTCGAACTCCAGGATGTCCAGTAGTTGGTGCCGCCTATGCTCAGAGAGCAACTGGTTCAGCCGCCGGTCAGCCACCCCAATCTCTAACTCTCCATCTCTGTCCCCTTGCCTTGGCCGCTGATCACCTCCACGATCATCATGAGCTTCGCGGCCCTCACCGCTGTCCACAAAACAGTCGGAGGTGGACTTCAACCCAAAAAGAAAACCCTTGGGCTCATGAACTGTGGTTATGCAAAAACGAATGCCCTGTACGTCGGGCTTGTTTTCCACTTGAGCCAAAGTGCGTGGTACACTTCTCGATTTATGGGATCGAGCGGAACGCGATTCACAGAATCATTTGATGTGGGATGTGGTGAGGTGCCATCGGAAGACCAAAAATACGAAAGAAACACCAAAGTCCATCACGCACATGAGTAAGCCATTTAGGAACAAAATCATGTTGAAGACACGCTCAAAAGCGATGATTTTTTGGTGTGCACCGAACTGCAATGCCAGCATTGGGTGCAATCACAGGCAATCACTTTATCCTTGGTATCAAGAAGCATTGTTTGTGCATACAAAAGCACTTTGTTGTCACTGATAGCAAAGCTAAGACCATCTTCTCTCACCGCAATGTTGGCCAACACAAGTTGACAAGGCCGTGACAAGGCCCAACATTTGATGCAATATCGTATCAGGCGCTCCAGACTCACATCCCAAACCCACTATCCAGATGCCTTACGTTTTACAGATCGTTTCATGGCCTGCGCTTAGCCGCATTTAGCCGCTAGCGGCCTGGCGATCGAACGCTTTCTCGATCGTCACGAGAATCGGCACGTTGGTCCAGCCTCCGACTCCGAATTACCTTTTCCCATAGAGGTATTCTTTCCGTACCTTGGAAGATACCCACTTAAACGTTTGTGATTATTTAGTGAGCCAAACGGAACTTGCCTTCCCAGGAGGTCCTTGCTTCAAGTAAATGAAGTACATTACATTGTATTACATTACAATTCCGAGGGAGCAAGTGCTTGCTTTAGGTCTGCAAAAGTATGCAAAAGTGCTTAACAGACATTGGGCGTTCATACCGAATTTGAACGCCGCAAGTTGTGAATGGGAGTCCGATTCCTACAGGTGCAAATGCGGCATTGTGCGCTGCATTTCTTCTTACCTCGCTGGCTGAGAGGTGGGATCATGTAGCTATGTAACTGTTAGGCGACCGCATTTGTTCACAAGAGCCTAAAGCAACATTGGTTGGACTTGGCAGGCAAACTGATTGGGCAGGGTGGTTCCCTTTTTGCGGGGCCTTTCCTCCCCTTCCCTTTTCTGTTCCTTTGGTGTCACAATCACCCCTTACTGCCCTTACTCTCATTGTGGTCCCTGATTTCACACGTTTCACACTCTTTTGATTCAAGTGTGCATCAGCGTCTGAGTTTGCGTGTCCAGATTCTCAGACGACGCCCCGCGTTATGTGTCCTTCGGACCGGATTGTCTCAGACCGCCTTGTTTCTAGCGCTAAAAGCAAAACAAATTGTGCCCCTAGTAGCGTCCTTGCTCCTAGTACCCCTAGTAGCGTCCTTGCTCC